TTCCAGAGTCATCCTAAACATACTAATTTTTTTTAGCTCATATTTTAGTCAAATAGTCAAAAAGTTACTAAATTAGCCTGTTCCTAAACGATGGTTTTCAAATAATATATCTTATTATTCAATACATGATATTTATCATGTTATTTTTATAAATCAAACAAAAATTATTGAGTTTTACTGCATTGACTAATAAAAATTAAATTAAAACATTATAAGAATTTATTCCAAGATGACCACAAAATTTTCCGATTAGTTAGAATGCGTTGTGGTAATGGCATTCCCCAAACATCATTTGAAACAATCCATTTGTGTGAATTTTGTATACAAATATGTGGTCTCACATGAGTGATTTCAGATGATGGAGCAATATCATTAAGGGGATTGAAATTTTCCTTTATTATAAAATTATGAAAATTATTTTTAATGTGTATAGAATTTATTATTTATTTGTAATATTTTTTAAAAGCTTACTGTGGATTGAAATTTTCCCTATTACTAATCAATGGCGGTTAGAAATATTCACCAAGCCTTTGGGTAGTGATATTAACTGTAAGTGGTATTCTTGTTGTAATGATCAAACATTGACAATAAGTTATGTCAAATAACAAATCTATCTTTTGATGGATTTATTATTCACATTAGGTTTTCTTGACAATTGGCACATGTTTATCACCACAAAATGTGTGTGTAATTCTGCCAAGTCTTAATCATGTCTTTGGACCGATAAATACCCGCATGAGATACACAGACATGAACTTCAAAACATTCCATATAAAACAATCTAGACAAGAGAGATCACTTTTGTGACATCTTGTTTGAATTGACTTATATTGAGAATGTTAGAAAATTAAATTTCTGTAGACGTTGTATGAAATTACATTAAATTTAAAGAAAATTGCAGTGTTCTTATTCCACTTAGGAAGGAATAGGGATCATAACCTTTTAAAGGTTGTAATTGGTTTTCAAAACTGAAAGGTTGTGGAAGTTCAAAAGGAATGAAAACCAACTTTAACCAATATGTTTTAATTTCTATTTCTGCCCCTCATAGAAATAGAAATTATACAACTAGTATCTACACATTAGGTCCATAACACATATACCCTTAAGCCTATTAACTAAATTGAATCACTTAAATTATAGGCTTCTTATAAATGATAACACCACATTTAATTATGTGGTCCCATTGAGACATTATCTAACACTTTTTGCATCTTTAAAGAGTCCTCCAAAATTAACTTTTCCCCAACTTTCTTTAGCACATCCGTCAGTATTTAGCTTGATATTACTTGTAGGAGGAGGCAACCAATTGATTAGTTTAATTCTTTGCTGATCAGAGCTTAGGGGGAATTGGAAGGCCTCATGGATCTCTTGAGTATATTGGGAACACTGGGCACAAGCTGTCACAAATGTTAATATCACAATTATCAAAAATAATCTTATTCATACCTTTTCAAATGAACTAAAGGGTGACAGTGAACCATCTATTCCAGTTGATACTTGCACGTTTAGTTTTATCACGAAGATTAAAAGAAATACAAACGTCCAAAGACTTTTCAATGTCATCCTTAATCCACTAATCATTTTTAAAATTTTTCTACAACTCCCACGAGTAGCAGCAATTTCTATGGAACTGGCTCATACTTTTCCCATTAGAATGGTATCTAAGACAAAAGGTCATTACTGTCAAAATCTCTACCGACTCTAAATTCGTTTATAAGGAGTCTACGATGCATAACAAGCCATAAGAAGCCTTTGAGTTTTTGAGAAATTGTTAATTTCCAAAGCCAATTCCAGCAAAAGTGATGTTCTTCAACAATAATGATGAGATGATAAGCAAATTTCGAAGAGAACCTGTCCAGTGGGATTTATTAAGAAAAGTCAAAAATGAGGAACGATCAATATCAATAGGTGAAACGTGTTTAGCAATTGTGTTCAAATGATAGTGTTGACAAGTGGCGGAACTATGAAGGGACTAGGAGGGCACGTGTTCTCTCGTAACTTTTTATATGCCCCCTCATTTTTTGTAATTTTTTTTTTTACATATAAGAAAAATAATTAATTAATAAAAAAATTATATAAAAATAATATTTAGAATAATTTCTTAATGACATTTTTCAAATTACAAAAATAATTATGGTTGTTTTGATTAAAAATAAAAAAATTATAACAAACCATATTATTAAAAAAAAATTAATGCAACAGTGATATCAAATCATCACTTATATATAAATATAGTTAACCCCACTACGAAAATGAGAAATTATTGAATTATTAATTATATTTAACAAATATGATTAACTTTTCATGCGTTATTTTACTATTAACTAGTGTTTCCATGCGTTATTTTACTACTGATTAGTGATATCATATATCGATGATAATATGGTATCACAATTATTTATATATTATTATATAATTTATTATAAGACATACAAGACTCTTTTGCATTGCCTATATATACTAGTTACAAGTAACACCATATATTTTTAATTTTGATTTTTCACAAGGTCATTTGTAAAAACAAAAATTTTATATTGAATATTTAAGATTTTGCGCGTAATAGTAATTTAAATTATCTATTGTTATTGATTATGAGAAAAAAAATTTAAAATTTTAATTAATAAATACCTCTTCTACGTTATTTTTCTGATTCCGTCACTGACGTTGACAGTGTCGTAAGTGTTAGTGTAAGGGCTAGGTGAACGTGTTTGCCAAAGGATGGGTTTCACACAATTGGTCCTAAGCTAATAATGATTGATTTTGACCTTACATTATTAGATATATGTCAATATTTAACAATGGATGAGATAAGATATTCTTAGAATATGCTTGAAGAACATTCACATCTCTAGAGCTTAAACCTTTAATTTAACAAATTAATTTGGAAATTAATCTAATGTTGTTAATTTAGTGCCTTTACTTACCTAAACAATTTCACCTCAACACGTCCACACCAAGTTAATGAGTTTTACACTTCCTATGTTGTCTATTTCTAGCGGCTTTGTGAATTTGGCTATTGGACCCCTATAAATGTTAGATTATGATTATTTTAATATAATTTTATTCGTATTTTTAAATATTTTCCAATCACTTGACTATTAAAAAAAAAGTTTTATTCAGTTAAAAACGACAACAATCAAATTAAAGTTCACGTATGCAAAGATTTCTGTAGATTAATATGTAGCAATTATTTAGATAGATACAACTTCAACCAAAATCTATATATTATACAAGCAAAATGAGCTTTCGTAACATTGTGAGAGCTCCAAAACCTCATAATAAATTTGTGAACTTATTGAATTAAAAAATAAATTTAAAAAGTAGTATTGACTAATCCATTAATGTAATAGTTTTCAAAATATTAATAATTTCATAATTTATAGTTTTCAAAAGGAAAGATAAAAAAAAATATTTCATATCTTTCCAACCTAATCCTCTCCTACTGAGTTTTATTTCCTTTAAAAAAAATTAAAACTTGTTTCTTACTATATTACTATATTATTCATACCATATATAAACTACTCTCAAATCTTTAAAATACATGATAAAAATTAAGAGCCTTCAAATTATTTTGATTTAATTACACACATTTAATTTCTTTTGTAATTTTTTTCCCTCTTTTGTTGATTTGTTTTGTACACTCATATGTACTAATATTTATGCCTAAATTATAAAATTTTTAATACATGTGATGGGTGTGAAAAGAAATTTGTGTATCATTAAACATCTTTCCTATTAGCCACATTCATTGATTTTGTTTTCAAAAAAAAATTTAAAAAAAAATCTATATAATTTTTTTAGTGTTTTTTATATCAGTAACTTCATTTCACAAAAAATTAATTATTTTTAAAATATTAAAACATTTTACGCAAAAATTTGTATTAAATAAAAATTTAATAAAATTTAAATTGAAAATTATGATTTGTTTTTGACACTTTACTTGTTTGATCATGTTCTATACTAAAAATAAAATCTATGCACTAGTTTAATCTGATCTTAAATAATTTTTTCAAATGTAAATATAATTTAATATTAGACATATTTTAAGAATAAATATAAAAAAATTTAATTGAAGTTTAGAATATTAATAAATATGCCAAATGTACGGGGAGGAAATAATTCTCCTCGTATAATCCTGTTGACCAAGTCCACGCTCCTCCGTACGACGTCGCTTTGTCACCTGAAAACACAAACGTGAGCTAGCCGGCGGGTGTGTGCCGGAAACCTCTCCGATGCCTAAGTCAGTAAGCTTGACAAATAGACAAAGTTTTATGCTCTCCAAAAGTATTGTGTTCAATTACCTCCTCCAAGGTGATGCTTGTGAGCTTTTATAAGTTTCATATGGCACAATCCTAGTAGGACTTGTATTTCTCCATGCAGAGTCCTCCTAGGATTCATTCTCCTAAGGATAATGCTTATCCTTTTACACCCTCCCCCACTGCTTAAACCAAGTGGGATGGTTTTCTTTATGGCCGAACTTCTATTTGACCGAAGTAAAATTGGCTATACCGAGCCACAGAGGGCCGAACTATCCTTAGCTCGGTCTTCTCCTCTAACTCCTTACTTCGGCTGTTCTGTTCACCCTTGACGTACTTAGATCAAACTTCCAAGTAACAAGTTCTGACCGACCTAACCATTGTAAGTCACGACCGGACTAACTCCGAAACCGGCCTTCTCAGAACATACTGTGACCGGACTAACTCTGAGACCGGCCTAACCGTGAGTTGCCTAAAGACCGGAGTAGTTTTACTCTTCCTTGGGCCGAAGTAAATATCTCTTCTTGAGCCGGAGTAATTTCACCTCCTTGGGCCGAAGTAACTTTGTCTTCCCAAGGCCGGAGTAACTTTCTGGGCCGGAGTATCTATTGCGGCCTTCTTACTTAGTCCTTCGCGTTTTGGGCCTCAATGCCCAACTCGCGGCTCGGCCCAATTTTTCCAAAAAATTACCCTCTCACCAAATATATATTCATATTTTTTTTTATTTTGGTTATAAAAAATTTTACAAGATTTTTACCATTTTAAAAAATAAATAAGTGGATAATGTGATGATTGGTCATGAACCAAAACGATTATCTAAAAATTGGATAGATGCATAGCATAAAAATCAACCAAATTCAGTTTCTACACTACTTTTAATATTTGATCCAGTATTAGCTCTTATGCATCATAACTTAACAAATTATTAAACATAAACTTAAATTGATTATTCTTAACTGTTTTTACTAATTAACTGATGAATTTTTAAATCGAGCCCAAGGTAAAACTAGAACAAGCTCTATATTTTAGGTCGACCCAGTATTATATAATTTTTTTATACATAAATATACTTAATTATTTGTGTACGAATTTTTAATATAAATATATAAATCTTTTTCAATAAATAAATAAATATGCCAAAAATATACATACATTTTCTTATTTTTGTTATAAAAAATAATCATAATATATTTACTGATTTTAAAAACTTAAAAAAAAAAAATGGGTTAAGTGATCATGTATTAGATATGAATCAAGATAATTCTCCAAAAATTTAATTGTTGGCATAAAAATTGATCTTAATGTAACTTCTAAACTACTTTTAATGTTTAATGTCAATATTATCCTTCAAATTAGTTCATAATATTCAAAACTTGAGAAATTATAATATAAATTAAACATAAAATTTAAATTGATTATTACCAGTTATTTCTATTAATTGATTGATAAAAATTTTAAATTAGTTCCAAAGTATGGTTAGAACAATACCCATTTTTTAGGTTAACCTTGAATGGTTTTTTCACACATAAATGCACTTAACTATTCATCTAATAATTTTTGAATATGAATATAAAATTTTATCAAAGTTTTAATTTTTTTAATAACTATGCATAAACATGTACGTATTTATTATTTTATTATAAAAAATACTAACATATATTTATTCACTAATTTAATAAATAAATAAGTTAAGTGATTCATGCTTAGGTATAAATTAAGACAATTATCTAATGATTAGTTCATGGCCAAGTTGAGATAAATGTTGAATCAATTAGATTATGTCACTTTTAGTGTCTAGCACAATTATAAATTCTCAAGCCAATTCTTATATATTTTATTATAAAAAAATACTAACATATATTTATTCACCAATTTAATAAATTAATGAGTTAAGTGGTTCATACTTAGGCATAGACTAAGATAATTTTCTAATAATTAGATCATGGCCAAGTTGAGATAAATGTTGAGTCAATTAGATTATGTCACTTTTAAGGTCTAACACAACTATAAATCCTCAATAATTTTAAATATAAATTTAAAATTTTATCAAAGTTTTAATTTTTTTAATAGATATACATAAACATGTACATATTTATTATTTTATTATAAAAAAAATACTAACATATATTTATTCATCAATTTAATAAATAAATAAGTTAAATGGTTCATGTTTAGGCATAAGTTAAGACAATTCTCTAATAATTAGGTCATAGCTAAGTTGAGATAAATGTTAAGTCAATTAGATTATGTCACTTTTAGTGTCTAGCACACAATTATAAATTATCAAGCCATCTCTTATATATTTTATTATAAAAAAATACTAGTTGAGATAAATGTTAAGTCAATTAGATTATGTCACTTTTAGTGTCTAGCACACAATTATAAATTATCAAGCCATCTCTTATATATTTTATTATAAAAAAAATACTAATATATACTTATTCACAAATTTAATAAATAAATAAGTTAAGTAGTTCATGCTTAAACATAAACTAAGACAATTTTTTAATAATTAGGTCATGGCCAAGTTAAAATAAATGTTGAGTTAATTAAATTATGTCACTTTTAGTATCTAACACAATTATAAATCCTCAATAATTTTAAACATAAATTTAAAATTTTATCAAAGTTTTAATTTTTTTTTAAATAATTATGTATACACATGTACCTATTTATTGTTTTATTATAAAAAATATTAACATATATTTATTCATCAATTTAATAAATAAATGAGTTGAGTGGTTCATGCTTATAAGACAGATTAAGACAATTCTTTAATGATTGGGTCATGGCCAAATTGAGATAAATGTTGAGTCAATTAGATTATGTTACTTTTAGTGTCTAGCTTAACTATAAATGCCTAAGCCAACTCTTTTTCTTTTATATTCGTGAATTATGACATAGGAGAAACTATAATTTTATGCCTAAGTAAACGTATTTTTAAACTTTTACAAAATAGACAATGGGTAGTTAATAAATTGGCAAATATAATTTATTATATGATTTGGCTATCTCTAACATAAAATAAACTAAATTGAAATCTTATAAGACAAAATGCATTTATATTTCATTGTAAAAAAATTTTTTGTAATTTTATTGCACTTTTTAAAAATACATTCTATCATAGTTTATTTATTTCTTACAAATAAATTTTTATGTTATTATTTAATTTTAAAATTAATTTTTAACTATTTATTTAAACTCGTGCATAACACGAGCATTATGGTTTATAAAATAATTTTAAAAAATTACACCCGTGCTATAAAAATCTGTTAAGCAAAGGTGAGTGAGATAGAAGAATAAAAAAATGGCTCAATGTAAGATGCCAAAACTAGCGATTGTAAAAAAATCTAAAAGTTATACTTCGTAGGTAAATTTTGATTTCATGAAAGATAAAAGGATAAGAGTCACTGGTAGTTCATTGTTTGTCATTTTCATTTTGTTATTCAATTTTTTGATTTAAACAAATTTTGCTAGATTGAGTTTCACAAAAAAATATTATTATTATTACTATTTTATTGTAATGCCCCCAAATAATATAATAAACGCAACCCAAACATATGTTATTAATTGCACGAATCAGAGTAAGTAGTCCTTTCATTAAATAAAGTTAATGAATACAAAGAGTTTAACATAAATAAATGCCCTTTAGGCTTACACATTTCCAAGCCGTGACTTGGTTACACAAAAGTGAGACTAGCTCTTACAGTTAAAACCCTAGGCTATACAAGTAATGAAACAAAACACAGAA